TTTATCACACAGGATTACAAACCCATCTATAGGTAGGTGTCCACTCTTTTGTCACAGCACCCGGTGAAGGAAGGTCCTGCTTGTAATGTTATTGTTAAAAGGTTCTATTGGGTTGGTTTTAGCAGAAATGTGAGTTGCTTGTTTTCCAGAAGAGGATCAGTTACAAAAACAACACTAAGCAGAAAGGCTTTTTGAGAGCAGGGGCTCTGTTTACCTTGTTAATTTCAGGGAAAGTCATTTGGGAGGAGGGAGGAAGTAATTAAATCCTTGTTTACCATGCTGGAAACCCATATCCCCTCAGTTTACACAAACAAGAAAGAAAATGACTCAGTGGTATGAGCACATGGCTGTGACTAAGGGGAGCTGGGTTTGTTCCCTGCTCTAATGCATACAACTCTCTAAGACCGCTCTTCCCTCAAGGTGAGATTCAGCTCGTTTAACATTAGGTATATGGTCCCAGCTGAAGACCAAATTACTAATCAGCAGAGAGAGGATATTCCTAATTTCAGGTTAGCCCAACAGCATTGGATGTACTGAGAAGTCTTGCAGAGGTGCTGGCCCTGCTTGCCTGAGTATTAGCAATTGTAATAACTACTTGGACTAAATAGACGAAGACAAGATCAATGTAGTTTTGCTTTCTGGGGGTCCCAGACACACAATGAAACTAACTAGTCCTTGCCCACCTGACAGTGGGATGGAATGGATCAATGTTGTAATTATTATCACATGCTGAGATTCTGGAGGTCATAAAAACCTGAGTGTAAGCAGATCTGTTTACCTGAGAAGGCAGCAATGGAAGGTAGTCTATGGGCTTCTAAATCCTTTCTGTTCGGTATGTGTACCTGTCCTAGTAGTTTCATGGGCTGATTTGGACCCCTGCAGTGTGCTCAGCCATCTTTTGTGAGGTGGTATTTCTCTCCTTGCAGTAGAGAATGCAGTCTGTTGGGGGAGACGGGCTATGTCTGTCTGAAAAAACTGCCTGTGCTGAAAGAGCCCAGGAAATGAAATAATTAGTTACTGATCTCAGCTAATAAGGGCAAAGGCAGGGCTTACTCTGACCACTGAAATCAGAACTGAAGGCCCTATAAAACAGCAGCTTGGGAATCTGCAAGACTGAGGAGAAGAGAATGATGGGGACTAAATCCTACCTCAGCAGTGAACTGACTCCTTGGAGCGTGAAAAGGTACTCACTCAGGTCCTTCTGCCTTGACATGTAGGCAGCTAGGGATGATACATAGCCTAATCATGGGCAGGGAGCAAATCAAACAGCAGAGTGGCTCTACAGACGCTATCCAAACAAGAGACACTTCAATGGCCTATGTTTTGCTTTTGGTAAGTGGTCAGGGCTGTCTCTCTCACCAAATCAAGGCAGCCCAAATATGGTTCCTCTGGGAACTTTAATGTTTTACTGAATCACTTAGTTTCTTTTGATGACAGCTGCTTTGGAGTCTCAGTTGCTGGATCCCAGTGGGGATTTTGTTGATAGGGGTTTATTGACTTCTTGTTACCTTGAAGTTACTGCAGTGGTGGGAGTCACAGGTAACTCCTGGAGTCTGTTTATTTTATGGGTTTGATTTTTAAGAGTTTGCCAGTGGTACCCTGAGAAGCCACTTGTTTATTTAGCAATGCACTCACATACTGATCCATAAATAAAACTAGTGTGTTATCTAATAAGACTCAACAGAGGGTCAACCCTGGCTCATTGGTAAACCAATCAATCCAGAGTGCAAAAAGCACCCCTCAGGAAACTTGTCATGGCTATCTGGGGAGGGGTGAGCCAAACATCAGTGCAATTTTGTACTCCAGTGGGTTTTCAGGAGTACGCATGCCCGTACCTTCTGAAAGGAAAATGCTTAAAGGTGGCATAATTTCCAGCAACCTTCACTTTGGTCCTTAGTAGAGGTTTTCAGAGTTGTAAGATTTCTTCAGCTGGGGCTGAGCATCAAAGCTCCTCATCTGTGGGAGAAAGAACAGACTTGAATGCACTGGAGACTGGTCTCTCAGTAGGGTCTATGAATTCCTCGAACTGGAATTCATCCTACCTCACTTAAACACCTAAAAATTACTTGTCTGAACCTGAAATGGTCATGTAGGGTCCTTCTACAGTTGACGTTATGGGATAACCATCACAGAGGGAAGAAGCTTTCTGGAAGGAGCTGATGTCTCCTTAGTGGTGATCATGGAAAGTCTTGACAATTACCTTAACCTCAGAGAAGTATCTCCTAGATGTACAGATTAGGTGAGAAGCATGTCTTGTGTCCCCTGTGATCATGTGCAGCCATAGAGAAGTGAGACACAAAATCATTTGGTCATTTTACCTGATCCTGTGTGCCACATTACAAAATCCTCCCATGACTGAGAGGCTTAAGATATAAGCAACATTCAAAGAGGGTGGGGCAGATGTGAGTGGGTTTTACAAGTGAGACATGCCAGGTGTCACCCAAGGGATTCTGCCATTGAGTCCTGGGATAGAGCCAGGTTGAGCAGATGACATCCAATACTGATCCAGCAACAGTTCCCTTGCAAACTGGTGCTGGACATTTCTTTGTGTGGCTGGGTATCCAGATTATAGAGCAGCTGCTGTTCCACTGCAGTAGATGCCTTGAGAAAAGGTGGCAAGCCACACATATTCCAAGTACCACAGGTCACCTTGGCCAATACAAGCAGCATATATTCCACATCACATGTATGTGTATACATCTGTGAAACTGTTAATCATGTGTGAACACAAAGAGAGAAATCTTCCAAACAAAGATTTTGAAGCTAGAGCTGTGATTTTTGATTTTTCTGGAGTTGATGATGCTCTATGTTTGCTATTCTATTACTGGAGGAGGGTGGGAGGACTTCCATGCTGGAGCATTTCCCCAGCAGCAGTGGCAGCAGGAACTGAAGTTGCTACCAGCAGGCTGTATGTGTACATAGAAGGCTGCTCAGAAAATGTTGCATACTACTTTGTGGAGGCTTATCAGCACTTGTGGCATGTACCACAGTTTGGGAATCTCTGCTACAGATCTTGAAGAGACAGGCTCTGAATCAGGATTTTACATTCACAGATCACTGTCAGAAGTTAGGGAGAGGGGAACGATTAGTCATAATATACCAACAAATCAGTTCAAATCACTGTAAAGTGGCACAACTGAATGTAGCTATCAGAAGGACTTCTCTATTGCTCGGATCTTAATATATATATTTAGAATGAGATGAATGCATGGGCCATGAATGTCTCCTGCATGGGCCGTTTTTTCTCCACTACCTGCAAAGAGAGGCTATACAATTATCTTACATGAGACGTCTATATTTAAGTGTTTCAAATCAAGTGAGATTATTTGTACTTAAGATGTCTACATCTCCCTGAGGGATTTACAAAGACATGCTGATGCCAAAATTTGATTGAATTGGCCAAATGCTTTAGAAATCCCTCTAGATGCCAACCTCCGCTGACAGGCACTTAAATGCTTTCAAATTTGGTCTCCTAGATAATTCTGAAAATGTAGTCATGTGTGAAGCTGAAGTTCCTACAAGCCAAACCTTCAGAGGCTTACAGGCATGTAAAGACACCAATAAGTATCTGCTAAGCCACAAGCACACTTACAGGACTTCTACAACTTCAAATGCCTCTAAAATCCTTAGCTTCAAGAGCCTCAAAATAACGCAACAGGTTAAAATGCTTTTAAATTCAACATCTTTTGAAAGAGAGCTACAGGGAAGAGGGTCTTTCCACCAGTTTTCTGTCTTTTTGCACACACCAGCACTTAGTGCCTTGAAAGGAGCAGAAACTGTACGTTCATGAGCACAATGTTCAGCTTGAGCCCTCTCTTTGCAGGACATATTGGGTTGGCCTAATAAGCAAGCTAACCACAACCATGCTGTTTCAATCTGCTCCAAGCACAATCAGAATAAGTTTATGTCTGCCTACAAAACACTCTAGTTCCTGTCATGGCCTCATTTGTGGAGGTGTTAATCACCCACAGCTACCACTTAGGTAAAGCTGTAATATGAGCCAGATCACACTTCTGTGCCTCAGTTTCCTTATCCAGAACACAAGGATAATGCATGCTTCAAGGTTTAGGGATGTATAGTATTATACAGATATTGTCATTTATGGTGATGATAAGAATGTGAGCTTTGTTTGGAACAAAAGTCTGGGAATGCCTACTTGACATCAATTGAAAAAGACAGGTATTAACCTGTATGTTTGAAATACAGCCTGTTGTTATTGCTCTCAGATAAACAGAATTACCTCCTCTTAAGATCAAAGGTAATCTGTTTTACTTCAGTGAGATGTGGTGATGTCCACAGAGAACAAATCATTTTTAGCAAGTGGAGGAGGGATTTTCTTGGCAAGTTGGGAGAAGCATCACAGGAAGAGAAAAGGGATGCAACGCAACTGGTTTTAATCACATGTAACAGTCAAGTTCCTCTGGACAGGCCTACTGTCTGATATGTCATTGTAAATGCCCTGGGGAGCCTGGACTAAGAGAATGGAAAAAACAGGTGAATGGCATGAAGGTACTCAGGACACTCAGTGGAACAATTGGCAAAGCTTTTGTCAGTTGGCATTATGCAGTGATATAGTGCTCCCATTAATATAGTGCCCTGGGACCATGACTTTGATTTTTAATGGGTGCTTGGTTATCCAAGTCCATGCCTCAGATCACACTGCACTTCTGTTTGACATTAACAATGAAGATGCTGATTTGGTTATAACAAGGATGTATTTTCATTCCCACTGTACAACCACCAAGGAGAAGAGAGACTCTCATATTTCAAGCCAGTTCAGCTCTGAGGTGGTCCGAATTGCTTTGGAGGTACCAGTTTCTTCTCCTTGCTGTCAAAGAGCCTAAGGTGGCTGCCCCCTAGACCAGGCACACTGCAGGCTGCCTGCATGGGTGGGATACATCTGGAGAAAAAGAGCTTGGGCAAATAATTCTTGACAGTACTGTTCCTCTTGAAATGACTGTTTCCTCTGGAAACTAATGACTTGTTTTGCTATATTTGGGTGCAGCAAAGGTACTGATTTTATTAGCACATTCTGTAGGAAACAAATGTTGTACTTCAACTACTGCAATACCATATAATGTATTATCATCTTACATAAAATGTCAGTTTAGGCTAGATTATATAAACATCCAAACAAGAAAGTCAAATGAAAATTGATATGATCAATTTGGTATTTCTGAAGCAAAATATTTTAGAACACCTGTTCAGCAATATGTCTAAAAATGATGACTTCCAATCAGGAATGAGAGGACATTGGTAACATCTGAGTCGCTTTTGGAACCCGAACAGCATGAACTTTGATGGTTGCAGGACGCACAGTTGGAATCGCCGTTCAGCCTGCTGTAATAATCACTTTGTTATGTTTCATTTGGGTTGCAGTAGCATTTGGGGGTCTACTGTCAGGATATGAGGATCTCTTTTGCAAGGAACATCCCATTCATATAATAAAGGCCTTCAGTCAAACAGGATAGATGCACTGGACCTAACACAGGAAAACTGAGCATTACCAAGAGTTTTGGTGCAGAAGCAGGCTTTTCTGCACTTTGGCTGAGGATTTACTTGAGCAGTGGTTGCCCGGGAGAAACTTCTGATTGAAGGAGTAATTACGTATTTTACTAATTACCTGTCAGTGGTGAATGAGGACTTGAGCTTGGAGGACCCTAAGTGTTCTGTGAACCTTCCTTCAGCCAGGGTCTCAATCTTGGATTAAATTTCTGGTACTTGAGATTGGGAACATCCTAAATGAGCACCAAACAAATGGGATTCAAACTCTCACTGCAACCTGATCAGCTAAAGACTTCTTTAAGTGCATAGTTTAAATAACCTGGAAGTTGAGGCAGAGCAACTGAGTTGATTATCCAGTCTTTGAACATGAAAGATCAACTGATATATACATGATTTCTAAGCAAGATCCTCTCCCTGAAATCTGTGATACATTATCATTATTACTGTGATTATGTACTATGGTAAAGTCCAGAAAGCCCTGATTTTTTAAGCCAAGCATGACACTTACCCAACATCTAAGGGTGGCCTACACTGGTTGACTAGGAGTTCTTCAATGAAAAATGTATCTTGGAAAAGTGGGAAACAAAATATTATTCAGTTTGCAGCAATCTCATGCATGTAAGCCCCGGAGGGCTGGTGTGTCTTTACTTTTGAGGTTCATCATGTCACCAGAAAAGCTTTAATATTTTACTGTGGAAGCAACATAGCCATGAAACATTAATTTCCAGGAATGTGGGAACCATGAAATATGTGTTTTTCTAGTAAATTGCCACTTTATTTGTCTCTGTTCTCACACAGTTAAGGGAACCAATTTTCATTATATGCTTAAATATATGTATTTTGGAAATACGCATAGGAAAGATGTACAAAACACAGGAAGACCATTTTTGCCTTGAAAATTGTATTTCACTGATAACAGTACCAGTCATTTATATTCTACGTTTCATCCTAAACCCTTTTACATTCCTATATTCATCTTGGAACCGTATCTCTCTTTACAGAACGGCACCCACACTGGTGTGTAAGTGAACATCTGATATATTCTGCCCTCTGAGATGTGGCAGCTGTTTAAATTTGCATAGAATTGTTTACTTCCTACTTCCACAATGCCATTCTCTCACCATTGTAGTTATCAACATCATTCAGACATGCCTGGCACAGGCACTATTGTACTATGATCTCCAGCAATCCCCAAGTATTCTGTACCATGACAGATGACTGTGGCTGCAAGAAAAAATTATTAAGGGCAAATTAATTTGTAATCCATGTAAAGGCCTTTTAAATATTCTCCTGCTATTGCTAACCAGCGTTACTAACTATAGGACTGATTCCTCTTTCCTGTAAACCAAATGACTGGATTTCCTTCAAATATCTGCACATACTCATATGTACACAAAGACCACACCAGATTTTAGCAGCCTCAGCAGAATAGAAGTATTACAGTAGCTTAAAGGGAATTTGAAGTACTTAGTTCTGGGGACAATTCCAGAATGTAAGTGTTCACCTAAGGTTTTTATCAATGTTAAATACTAAATTTACATCCATTACCAGTTGATTAGAATGGAAAGATTAGACAAAACATTCCAGACACATCTGTGTCATGGGAACTATAGGTTTCATGGTTATATGACACACCAGAATATTCACCAAATCACTAGGGTTGTCTTCCTTAATGCTACAATTAGTGATGCCACATTAAGAGGACAATCACTGGATAAGATTTGATGGCAGGAAGCCCTCTGCCATAAACTGGAAATTCTCAACATATGCAACCATACTGCTAGAGAAGAAGAGTTATGCAATTAAAACCAAAACTGGAGATTTGTTATCAAAGGATGGCAGAGTGTTCTAAAATCCAGCTGAGAGGTTCCTTGATCTCGTTATCTTCAAGCTTCTACGTGAATTAATCTAACACAGATGACAATATTTAAGACAGACAACTGTGCCTACAGTCATGTGGAGGATGTTTTATAGAACCCCTTTCCATCAGAACGTGGAGGTTTGTCATAATGCAACACATAAAGGCTGGTTAGTTTTGCCAGAATAGCATTTCAGGAGAATAAAACATGATAAAAATTCTGACAGAGTCAAAAAAGTCTATTCTAATGTCATAATTCAATTTCCAGAATTTTGAACAAGCCATATTTAATTTGTTTTTTACTGCATTTAATGACATTTAAAGTGCAAATTATTTTAAAAGCCCAATTCAAGATAAACATTTGATTTTGTCTGAATGGAAAAGTCTGCGGTTGTGTGGTTTTCCTTCAAAATTCTCCCTTCTTGTCCCCACTCAGAATGAAGCAGAATTTCAAATTCCGATTTTATTTGCAAGATGAACTTCTGCCCTCCCACAGCACTTTCTGTGCCTCTATGAGAAGGATGAGAAGCTTAATGTGTAATTTCTGTGAACCATAAGGAGATAGTATTTGTGTTAGTATTTTCAAATCCAGGCTTCTAGAGCTGCTGTTTGAATATAAATCATAGATGTTTCTGGGTTACACTAACACCCTCTGCAGTTTAGTAGAGTTGTTAATTAATACAATACTGTATTAGTTATTCTTACAGTCTTACTAGTAACGCCCCATGAAATCCCGTTAGCTGCATATGGTGCCAGACTTGTTCTGAATGTGGGAAAGCAAGAAATTTACAGTGGTATGTATAATACAGAGAAGCTTTCAAGTGGTTTCCACTGTGAACATTTTGAAAAAATATTTTCCAGAATGTAATTTGTGGGAAAATCTTTTCACAAAATTTCAATGCAAACATGCATATATTTGTCATCTAAGTTTTATCCTGGAGTGTAAAAACTGTTATGCGCCACTATTGTTCTATGGCAGAAACCTCAGGAAAATAAAGTAGTTCCTAAATGGAACTAAAATGGAAAATTAATCAGGTTAATGGAAAATTAGCCAGGCTGTCCTATTGTCCAAACTGACAGAAATGCAAAAAATCAACCAAACAAAACTCCCCCCAAATGGATAGCTGATGCCAACAAATGGATAAAACTTTTCTTATATTTTTTGTCTAAATAATTTAGAGATAGTGATGACAGTCAAAATTTGGATTAGGTTTTCCAGAAGTATTTGAATTTCTTGCTTCAGTGATCTGATAGATCCTTCTTAAACTCCAAGAAGATTAAAATGCCACAGTAAAAATCAGGCTCATTTGTTAACACCTCATACAGAACACTCCAAAAGGCATTAGCCACTACAGAGACTTCAGACCTAATTCTTTTCAATTTGTTTTGTCCAGTATTAACTTATTAATGAAAGAGAGATCTGACAAGAAGCTCTTAGAAAGGCTTTTAAAAATGGAGAGAATGATGAAGGAGACAGGATTTTGAAGTAGACTATTTGCTGGAGAAGCTGGCTCAATTGTAATTCTCTCCTGACCCTTTAAGAGTTGCTGCTATAGAGTTGTAGTAGTAGCAATGCGTGGTTAGGTGGTTTCTAGTAGATGCTTTTCTCCTTCCCAGTCCTGTGGTTCATCCATAGTCCAGTCTCTGCAGTCTCACTATGCAATCAGGAATGGCCAGGGCCTTTCTGCATGGCCAGCATCCAGACAGGGACACACTGCTCAGGGAATCCCTCCTGCCTCTCCTCTTGCAGGATGGTGAGTCCACTCATTTCAATGAGGCTGTGGAGGATGTTCAGGTCTCGGATCACACTACTATCCAGACAGTCCAGGATACAGCCCTCCCTGGCTACATTGTCCTTGAGAATGATAACACCATTATCCTTCAAGCCATTCTGGCACCGGATAAGAAACTCCAGGAGATCTTTATCTGTCAGATATCCTACAGATAAAAGATGGAACATAGATCACTATTAACCATTTAAATTCCCACTTTACATATCAGAATGATGCCTTATTCTGAGTCTCCATACCCTATTTATTGCAAGAGAAATTCTAGTCCTGACAGATTTAATTATGAAATCTTGGGCAAATTAATGAGATCAACCATTAAAAGCTCAAACCAGCATTTAGGATCCATATTAGTAGTAGCACCAGATGTGGACAGAAGTCAAGCGGAATAGTGGAGAAAATACCGTGTGCTGAACGGTTCTTTAATCCAGTGGTTAAAGTCATAATAAGAATCAGTGGCAGGAAGCTGGAACCAAAGAAATTCATATTGGAAATAAGTGACAACTGTTTGACAGTGTAAGTAATTACCCATTGGAAACTACCAACAGAAGTGATGTTTACCACTTCTTGAAGTCCTCAAATCAAGCGTGGTTGAATTTCTCAATACGCGTTTTAATTGAACACAAACTACTGGGCTCAGTACAAGGGTAAAGGAATGACTATAACCACTTGTGATACAGAGTAGGTCCAACTAGATAATGTAACAATCCCTTCTGTCTTTTAATGCTACAAATCTCTATAACTTTGTGTAACATTATGTACTCAAAGGAGTTCTTGATCAAAGATCCAATGTGGAATCCAAATGGCCAAATAAACTCTTTATATTACCCTCTACTGTTGTGATTTCTGCATATACCATATACACTTAAAAATAATAAATTTTTCAGTATGTTATTGGAATTGTGGTTTTTATCTTTCCTGCCCAAAGATCAAAAGTTCTGTTACATTGAGAGCAGTAGTGCAGGGCTCTGAGAAAAGCAAAATGAGAACTCTCACATGTGAAACATCTAAAATGAATTGACAAGGACAGGTGGTCAGAAACTGAATGATTTTTTTATTATTTTTTTTTAAAGTAATTGTTTGCATTTTCTAGTCAAAATATTTAGGTCTCTTGATGGAAGATTTAAACTTTTATAAATGGAAGTTGTCATTTCAGAACCACATTTTGACATAGCATGTCAGGTTTCTTTAACCACCCGCCCCAAAAAAAAGAAAAAATCCCCAAAGCCTAAAACCGAATACCTTTCAAGCTGAAGGAAAATAGTGATTTGTGTATGAAATGTAAACCTGCATTCTTATTTTTTCATAAAATAACAGCCTGGGCTCAAAAAACTTATTCATACATAAGATAAATCAAGATTGCATCAGCAATATTCATTGAAGCTCTTGTACACCTAATTTGGAACTTAATGTTCTCTTAACTTAGCTTTTAGCCTACTTTCCTAACAAAATGAGATCTTCATGGTGCTGCTCTCTACAAGACAGTCCTGCCCTTGCCCCACCAGAAAGCATTGAGCTTGTTGGCATATTCCAGCCAAATTCAAGATAGAGGTAGAAGTTTAATTAATATTTAGATCACTATGTATTTCACTGAAATCGATGGAGGAAGCAGATTCAGACCTATTTCTATGCTAAAGAAAAGGCGTATGCTCCCTTTGGTAGCAGCTGCATAGCTGATAAGCACAGCCTCAGACAAGTCTTGGCTCATCTTGACTTGGATTTGCTCAAAATATAAGGCAGGAGCTACATTTACTGCAGTGATTGGTTATTCAAGAAAAGCAAAAATACAAAGGAAAATGATGCTGTTCTGAAGCAACTACAGCTATGAAGACCTGTTCTAAGAAGCTCAGTTTCATTACTTTTTAAGACTATGTGCAGAGGACAAGAAAGTGTTCTTGAATAAAACCTCCTTCTGTGCGAATCTCTCAATTTTTTTTTTTATTTTTTTTTTTCCCAGCGAGAAACTTTCTCCAGGCTTTTAGAAGAGAAGGAGCTGTTCGGGCCTCCTCTTACACTTCAGAATAATGACTTCTTGCCAGCTGAAACTCCACCGTGGACACTTAGGTTCACATATTAAGAGAAAACCTTCTTTTTGGAAGGACAGCTAGGTACTGCTGCAGGTTTTCTAGAAAAAATTGGGAGTGGTTGTGTTGGCTTGGAAGCAGATACTTCTCATATGAGGGGTACTGTGACACAGAGCTAAGTAAACCTGTTTGATAAGCATCAATGCATGTATAAGACATGATCTTGTTTATAGATATTGGTGATTTCAACTGTGTCTTTTTTCAGATTGTTTCCTGAAATACCCCCAAGACATCAGACTACGAAATCCCTGTTGGTGAGGCCAACTCCATGTTGGCAGCACTGGCAACAAAGAAGGCGCATTCCTGTTCAAGAAAACCCATAGGTAAGGCCTACTCCTCAGATGTACCTTAGCACGCAGGCTGCTTGCCAAGAGCATGTACGTTCCTCCAGTAAGTGACCTTAAGAAAACCAACTTGATTTGTACAAACTGTGCATGTGGCTGGGGAGAGCTCTCAGGAGTCTCTGTGAGTTTTAGGAAGCAGTCCCAAAGAACTGAATCTCCTTTTACTGCTGCATCATTCTTTTAACTTACACTTTAGCACAGGCTGTACAGTTCTCTCAGATGCTGGGTTGGATGAATCATGCTGAACTAACCTGAAACCCACTGAATCCAGATGACATCATATCTTTGTGGGGCTGGAGTGAATTCCTGGAGGCTTTTGCAGTAATACATCTCTACTCTGTCCTCCTTGCCCTGCAAGTAGTTCGGGACCTCAGCCAGAAAATTCTCCATCATATCCACCAATTCCACACTCTTAAAAACTGGTAACAGGACATGCTTGCTGATACGACCTATTCCAGAGCCACAATCCAGGGCGCGGTTGGTGCCAGCTTTCCCCACCCCCTGTGGGATACAAGAAAATCAGTTGAAATCTGAAAAATACCACGTGAAAGATCATAGAAACTATGTTAACTGCTATGGCCTTTAGTACACCAAGCCTAGTGTCTTGTTTCCTTATTTGTGCAGAGCTGTTGCAAGACTGATAAAAACCTGGGACAGTAACAATACAGCTTTGGGTACCTATGTTTGAATCAAACTGGGCTGCTATGTGCTCTAGGCTGCTGTTGATGGGACTTCCTCACTACAGCCATACATTTATTACTGCACAATAAGATTTTACTTGGTATAAGAAATGACACAATCTGTCACAAACTCCTAGCTTTCTCAGAAGATCCACTGGTATTTGTAAAATCCTTGCAACTTTATCTATCAAATATTCGCACCTCACAATCAAATACATGGCCAGATAAGCCTCATTTTGAGCCCTGTAAAGGCCTAACAAAAAAGTAAGCATATACCAGATACTGCATGCAAGAAGTAATTTCTGCAGCAAAGAACTCCCGAGGTACCCATGGACATTGCTGCAGATTCACAGCATCCTTGTGACCAGAGTGCAGTTTTCAAAATAAGCTGTGTTTGAATGAAGATGTTGAAGTTGTAGGTAAGTTATTACAACTCAGAAAGTTTGGACTGGAGCATATACAGAATTTCTTTCTTAAGCATAGAGACAAGAAAGATGATTGAACATAACTGTTCTTTTTTTCTTCATAAATACAATCTCTGGACAGAGATCAGGCATGAAAAAAAGTGGCATAAAGGCTATGTCTATGAAAAAATAATGAGTCACTGTAAAAAGATCTTTATAATGACAGCTGTATTTCACCCCTAAGGCTTCCATTCTAGCTATAAAAAGTCTCTTAAGAGCCTGCTGCTGTTCCTTAAAGCAAAAATTTTAAGTCTGTACATGCACTGATTGTAGGATTGGAGCTCCCCTGGCCAAAGTTATCTGTTAAACAAATATATTAAAAGCAAATGTAAACACCTTTTCCCTGTCCCCTGGAACTGAGTGTTGAAGTGAAAGCTATGGGCCAAAGTCCCTGCTGCAACTCCACTGCTCTTAAAGGAAATAAGCTTAGGTAGAGTCTTGCTCTTCCTGTTTACTGGGAGACCTCCTCTCTGATGATCAAGCATAAATCATGTAACTCACCACGGTTTTTGGCCTTGCTTCACTGGATAATTCAGTAGATTATTAAGGTCAAAGGACAGTACCATCAATGACATGACTATGAATAGCCTGGCTGAGCATCTGATTACATAAAGTAACTGTAGAAAGAGCACAAGGACCTCAAAGGCTTTCACCAATCTCTAGGGCTGCTGGTCCCAATTTGTATACCTAGGAAGATTAATCTCCTGATGCGGAAGAGTCCTTAAGACCTTAACCCTGCTGGATTCTGGAGACTACCTGTTTGCAGTTAGCCAGAAAATGTGAGCCATTCTTCATTCATAGGCTGCACTTAGAAGCATGTGGTTTTTACTGATGACCAGTAAGTTACTAAGCTGTAACAAGGATTTTATGAAAGGAGAAGGAACTGTGTCTGGATCATTTGGATTTCCTTATTGTTTGCTGGCAGATACATACAGGCCTACACTGATGTGATGAAGTAAAAATCTTTGAGAAAGCTGGTGAGAAGACTGAGTTGATCTACCAAAACAATTAACAGAATTAAACAAAAAGCCACAGAACTTCTTTGACATTTGTGTTTCAGAGAACCTATAGTCACAGTACCTCACTCAAAACAGGGAATTCATCTCCCATGATGCGTCACAGCAAGGACCTCTGATAACACATCTCCATTTGCCATGGAGGAGGAGGAAAAGGAACAATCATGGGAGATGAAGCTTGATTCCACACTTTGCTGAAAGGGAGCAAGAGCATCAGGCAGTCAGTTGAGAAGCCCTGTGAAGCACTACGGCTCTGTAATGAAAATGTTGACATAAGTCCATGTTCACATTCCCGGTTTGAAAGTGCTCAGAGCTTTGACAGGGTATTAAAATTTTCTTTGGAAGGCAATCATATTCTCAAAAGCCTAATTGAGTTGAAAATCAGACTCCTTATTTTAAAAAACAGTGTAAGTGAAAATTTAAGCCAGAACAGGCTTCAAAATTTAACATTGACTGCTCCTCTGATTACCTGCTTCCCATTACTCAGAATCACTAGCATTTAGGACACATACACACTCAAAAATTCTTCTGTATGCTTAAATAGGGCACTCACAAATTTCCTTAGGGATAAGAGAGCTGCGGAATATGTTCCTGATGCTACTTCAAGTCTTGGAAGGGCAGGAAGGCAGTGTAGATATTCCGGATAAAAAATAAATCTGAGTTCAAGAAATCGATAAAAATCACAGTGGTTTTCCTTCTATTAAAAAAAAATTTAAAAATCAGGTTTTCAACAACATCTCTTCCATCTCCCTGATCAAACAGAAGAAAATCACTCTCAAGAAGCTTTTCATTCAGTAAGTAACCAATCAGGCAGGTGAACTGAGGGCAGAAAGGGAGAAAGGGTTTAGGGCAGAAACAGAGCTATAAAGTTAATATAATCTGTATTATTTCACAAACCTACAGCTCACAACTGTTTCTGAATTAATGGTTTCTTTGTTTTCTTTATTTCCTTTTTTACACATTACCTCTGGATTAGGCACTTGAAAACACACTATGTGGATATCAAGGCTTTAACTGGAATGGACACATTGCCATAAATATGCAATGTTTATTGCATAATATTTATCTGCTGATAACCCTTCAAGTATGTCTGTACCTAAGACAGCCTATAGCTTGTCTGTACAGCACTGCTAGCTCGAGTAATGTTGCTCTTGGTTTGAGTTCTGCCCACACACACATAAAACCTCTTAGCTTGAGCACAGTGGCACTTTTAACTCAGTTTGACTTGCCTGGGAAGGAGACAGGCTAAAATACAAGTCCTCTCCAATCCTACAATCAGAGCATGTGAAGTCCTTAGTCCTCTCTGTAGTTCCTTCCATGTACCTATGCAAGATAAATTCTCCAATCATAAAGAAATCTGTAGCTCAATTTACAGTGGTGCTAAGAAATCATGCTAAGAAATTCCACACCTGAAGGTATGCAACATCAGTCATGTAAGGGAAATGTCACTGTGTGGCATTTCCATACCAGCCAAACTCAAGACGGGTAATTTGAGTGGAACTGGGCAACCGTTTTTCAAGGAGCACTAATTTTGCCAGAAAATCGAGTTTTGGAAGAATAAAACTCTCTGCAAAATTGGTATTTCAAATCTAGAGAAGAGTTATAGCCAAAACACATGGGAAAGAATGTCAAAAATGTCAAGATACTTCTATTTCACAACTTTCAAGGAAAAAAAAACCACAAAACTTGTCAACTTTTCATTTCTAAACAGCATTTTTCATTTTAGAACTGACTTGAACTCTTGAAAAAAAAAAAGGGAGAAGTTTTTCATAGGGAAAAACAATTAAAACTTAAATTAAATACGTTCAGTTGATCTGAAACTAATTTTTCTTTTTCTGATTTTGTTAAACTTCTCTTTTAAGAAGAAAGTATAGTTTATATATTATAGGTGAAACAAACTGCTTTTTTCTACCTTGATCACCTTATTGGAAAAAAAAATAATTCATAGAGCCATAAACTTGGGAAGACATAACTCAAATTATCTTTACAATAAAGTCACTACTACAGAAAGCCAGCAAATATCTGAGTCTGATTAAGTAGGATCCAAATTGCAGTAGTAAGAAAGGAAAATAAACCATAAATAACATAACCAATTGACTGTATCTCAACAGAGGACAGACTTTAACATATTAAATCAGAATTAGCAAAACATGCAGATTCCTTTCTGGGTTTGGTTTTTTTTTTCTTGTTTGATCTTGGCCATTCAGAGTATCCTTTCTATCCCTGGCTAATAATAGGAGTAGGAACTCTGCTCTGGAGTATTCTGTATCTGTCATCACACCTGATGCATTGGGTACAACTTCTCTTTGGCATGTGAAACTGCTACAGACTGTACTTCTTTCCTTTTTGGGTCTTGAAGATGAGAAAGCATAATAACAGTGTGGTATAAACCTTCCATTCAGGAAATGGCATCTGTATGATGTCTCAGAAGTGTAAAATGCTTCCCTGAGTACAATCTTATGCACCACTTGCATTCCACAAAATGTCCTTAAAACAAGACTTAAGTAATATTTAAGGAATATGCCTTAAGCCAGCAACTGAAAAGTTGCATTTTATTTTTTCTGAAAATGCCATTTTACCATCAGGTTCAGCTGCCTTGCTGAACTTCCTTTGTATTTTTGTATTTTCTGCTTGTAAAAAGCCTGATACAGTTAGGCTTTAAAATGTTGTGAAGCCTTTTTGCATTGGCATTAATACAAATGACTGTAAATGAAAAAATGTAGCTGTTCATTCGTGTTTTGCTGGCTCACTGTGCCAAAAGCCTCCCTCTATCAGGTACAGGAAACTTTGCCATCAGTTGCTCTTCACTGCTATACAGGATTTCTATCTGTTGTTAAGCCACACTCATTTTCCATCTCAATCCATTTAAACTGTGCCCTTTTGTGTATATAACATCTAATTAAGCTATTGAGCTTTTTTTCCATAGTGGATCATTGAGACTAAAAAAAGGTCATCTGGCTATCCCAAATTTGTACATTTGAGCAGAAAATGAAAGATTTATGGTAGCATTATAAAGAACTAGTCATTTTGTGAACAGGAGAACATAAGAAATTTGTTTTCCTGTGGCTTTGTGGATTCTTTAGCATCGAATACTGTTGTTGAGCTAATTTAGTAGGCTTTTCCCCTGGGAAGAGGAAAAACCAGTCAGAAAATCATCAGATCACAGCTTTAAAAATTTGCAGATTCCCAAAGACATCAACAGGGTTTTCAGAAACCTAAGTGCCAAAGTGCTATTGCTATTGTAGGTGATTTTAAAATCCCACTTGGCATCTCTCTAGATCACAGGTCAAAGCAGACCTCTGAAAATGTTTACAGAACTTTAGAAAACTGCTTGCAAAGGTCCCCAGTGATACTGAAACACTAAAGAAAAAAGATTTTCTTAATGGGTAGCTTATTCTATATACTGCTCATGTTTAGGGTGGGGAGGGGTGGCACAGGGGGGCTGGGTTTTGTTGCAGTATTCTCAGAAATATCTATAAATAGGCACAGCAGAAACTTGGCATTTATTCTCAGCTACTTTCCCAAATGGACTGCAGGAATTTCCACAGACAAATCTCCCACTGAAGCCAACAAGGATTTTATCATGAAAGGTCCCAGTCCTGCACTGAAAATTAGTCTCCCACCCAAACACAGATAAAAGAACTTGTCCAATCCTCTTTGCAGCTTTGGAGTTCAAGAAAAGGATGCAAAACAGGTAAATAATGACATAAGGCCAGGCAAAATGTATATTCCTGATGATGCATGATCTGGCAGAACACATTACTTGACCCAGTGACAGTCAGTTATAACCTGTGATTGCACATCAAATATGACTGACATATGGTACCATTTAAAATATATCTGATTGGGCATAATGCATGTCATTTATGACACATCACTACTGTTTCTTGCAGAAGATGGGATTAAATGACTCACCCCAACAAACTTCCTGAGAAACTCCTTGGAAGATTCAATGTCTGTATTGGAGAGCTCAATGTAGTCTCCCATCATGCCCTCTTCTGTGGCTGGCACCTCCTGGTAGAAGTGTTTGGCCCTGGCATAGAACTGCATCTCCCCATTGATAACTTGACTTGTCAAAGCGTAAAGTTTCACTGCAAGCAGATAAATCACTATATTACTGTTAATGAAAGACATTTCTGGTTTAGTTTATTGCTCTGGAGACACAATGGTGAAGATCTATAAACTTAAATTGAGCCTTCAAACCACCAAACCTCTGTTTCTAAAGCAAAGGTGGAAGGAAAGGTGTTGGATTTAATCCTGCAATACCTTGAAGAGACACAGTCCTCCTTTGGCAAATTCCGTGCCTCTCAGGCTCAGACATAATTTCTGTCATCACACTATCTTTCATGTCAGTGAAAAATCATCTCAAGTTTGAAGTGAAAATGCAAGCAAGGGGTTTGATTTGCTCCCAGAAAAGCTGTGGATGGCATTTATTGCTCGACAGGGTCATCATTTCTGCTATCACAAACCTAACTGTTGTGCAGATTTCCATATATGCTTTCTAGCCATTGACAGCTGCACGGAGAGCACATCAAGAGAGTGTATGAATGAGGCACTCCCTCTGGTTTATTTTTAGTGATACTGTACAATCTGTGGCACTGCAAGTAAGATGAACCAAAGAGCAGATGGTAGTCTCAGGCCTACATGAGTATAGAGATGGGGAGACCATTCAGAAGAGACAGGACTAAATTTTCATCTGTTAGATCAAGGAGCAAGATAATCAGTTGGTGATACACTGGAAAGTTCCTGTGTGCCAGAGCTTGGATGTTTCTTTTCATTGGTTGTCTATTTTGCTGGTAATATACAGCAATCGTAAGTTTGAAGCTGTTTTATTAAAACCTGCCAGCTTTGATGAGTAAAAGATTATTATATATTACTCTTTAAAAAACTGATGCCTGTCCACATCCTGGGTTTTTCTATACTCCATGTGCATCAGCATATCAAAACCAGTTAGTTTTGCAGCTTAAAAGTCTGGATAGAGGCAGCCCATAAACAGTTTGCTTGGAAACCAGCACCCTTGACTATCCTGTGCACATGCAAGTGTCCAGGCATTTTCCTGTGTGTATGACAGACCTTCCAACAAAAACACAATCACAGGCTTGCTTGTAAAAGCTAAGCAATAAGGAAGGATGGACTCATACTGGGAACAAGTCTTTGCAAGCACAATCTTGCAGTGTGAGACCAGCTCTGCTGCAGATTCCCACTGTGCTCAAAGAACTGGAAATGATCCAGCAGCAAACACCTTTTGGGTTAATAACAGTAAAAAGGGAGAGCTCCCTACTGGCTGCCTACACAGAAGGACCAGGAAGCAGTACTTTGTCACTGCACCTTTTAACTTTCACAGGAGCACTGCCGGTTGCTGCTGGGAACAGGCCATGCCTTGCTTACAATGGCTGGGGACAGGAATTATGCCCTCCACAGAGAGGAAGAGAGCTGGGCCAGAGACCCTGAATATAAACCTGGAATGTATTTATTGAGGGCAAGCAAGCTCAGCAGGGAATGATAAGTGTGTGCCTGCCCATCCTCAGCAGGAGAATGACACTTTGGAGGCAAGAGAGGGGAGGACAAAGGAAGTAGGATGGGGAATAATTACCACCAAGGACCACTCGGTACAGAATAGTGCTATTGGGTTACGCATAAGCAGCATGCCTGGCATATCCTTCATCCAACAAAAGCAGCATTACCAGCCCCTCTTGTCATCACCTGCTTAAGTCAACTGCTGAACGGATACTATTAAAGCTTTAATCCATTACACATTTATGTTATGCCTAAAATTTATACCACAAGAAGCACTGAGCCCAGCAAGGGTCAAACCTGGGAGTTTTACACACTCTACTGATTATATTCACGTACTTAGAATAAACCATTTAGTTGGAGAAATTAATACAAAGGGGGCAGCAACCAATCCCCAGCACAACTTGGCTAGGGTGACTCCCAGAGCCTGGGAAAAAGACTCCATCAGTGGCTGTGATTCTTCCAGTACATGATCTCCATCTTCCCCCTGGGAATGGCACCATCTTGTTTTCTCTGTGCCTCTATTTGTTTCAGATGCCAGCCTGTCTGGTGAACAGAACTGAATCACTGCATGTTAGATTTGCTAGATCTTCTATGTAAGAGTCCAGTGATTATTTCTAAGCCTTGTTTAATGGACCAATCAAGGGACAGTGATTTATCCTGTTTTACTACATTGAAGGGAAAGACATTTACAGGCTGTCTCAGGCAGCTGGCAGCATGAACAACAAATAGTCAGAGTCCTTCTACTGAAAACATGAGCCTGACCTGAGGCAACACATGGGGACGATATGCTATTCAGGATATCAGATCTGTAGTGTGTGCTCTCATATTTCTCACTCAGAACTAGTATCAGGGTTGCAGAATGCCTGCCGGGACTTGCGTGCACACACCAGCTGACTGCAGCTCCTCCTGGGCTTGCTGGGGCCCCAGAGCTCTGCCTTACGTGCTGGCATTCAAAACCAGCTCTGGGCTTAGCATCCCAGAGGGTCTTCTCTATGCATCAATCTTTGCCAAGATCTTTTTATGCAAGTCTCCCACCTGAGGGCATGCAAATAATGTAAAGAGTAGCAATGTACCCAACATCTCCTGCGGACCCACAGTCTCACTCGTGCTCCCTCAGGGTTACTCCTCCCTCTAATGAATTTGCAATACTGCCTATCCTCCCAGTTCACAACCCAATTTTCTGGATACAGCCAGTTAACCTCAACTCTGATGTGCCTTGCAGCTGTGCCTGGCTGCATGCAGCAGCAGGACCAGAGGGAGAGGGAGGTTTGCCAGCTTGCAGGAACCTACCCTAAAAGAGAAGTGTGAGGAGGCACGTGTCCTTGCTGGCAGTGAGTGTTGCAGCTCTGCTCCATTGTACCTCCCTCTCATCACAGGACCTGTCTGGCCTGAGGCATCTCCCTTCCCATGACCCATGTGGGACTACCTCTTGCATCAGGAAATACTTGTGAGGTCTGTTACGGATATACAGTCTGATTTCAGCAAACTTTGGAAAGTAGGGCATAGGCAGGATAGGATGATGGAGACTGCAAGTCTTTCAGACGTTGCAGAGGGCAGCTGTCTTTCACAAAGTTTTCAGTGTTAAGGCAGGTAACTTGTAAGATTTAAGGTTAGAAATGTGTTTTTAGTAAAGCAAGAAGAAACTTTTTCACAGTACACTTGGTCTCAGATGATCTGCTGGCAAGTCCGCCAAGTGGAGATGGCTAAAACAAATGCACTGCAAAAGCAGGCTCAGAACACGAACTGGCTCCCTAAAGGTCACTTCACAGTCATGAGATATTAATTTTAAGTCTCTGCCAACACAGTCAGGATGCAGAGTGGTGATCTATAGCTGAATGCCAACCCCTGGACTAGACAGAGTTATCTACCTAAGACCTTTTGCCCTGCAAAGTCCAAAATGTTATCTCTGATATTTTGTAACGGATCTGTTCAAAATTTTGTTTCCCAGTGCATCTGGTCTAAAACTCTAGAGAGACCACTTACTACATGAGGCTGGGTGCAACCCCAACCTGCAGTAAACTGTCTTGGTTGTGCGGTTTACTCAGCTAAATTTCCCTGGCAGAAGTAAATGCTGCAAATAATTTTTTTGGAGTTTTTATTTGTGAACATTATTTTGTGGCTCCAAATACTTTCTGCAAGATATTGAACTAATTTCAGTCTTGATGAGTATTCCCTTTCACATGCAACATCTGCTTTGTGCATTAGTTGAAAAACAGTTATCTGGGTGCAGGGCAGAATTCACCTCTCTACTGTGGTCCAAGAACCATTTAAATTCTGTTTTATAGAGAATGAACATTAGCTAACCCCCAAAGCAGATATTACTTAAAGGCACGTGCCTCACACATGGGAATATTTATCTCTATGGACCGATCATCTAAGTTTTCCACCACAAATCTCACCCCACTGGCACCAAGTCCCACAGCCCATGTAAACATATGCATAATTTCCAACATCTCAGTAGCTCCATTAAAGTCCACTGGGCCTAATGGTATTCACAAACATTTAAGTACATTATTGGATCAGTGCCTAAAGTTACTCATGTCTTTTATTTATAAATGTTACCCTGGTCTGTAAAAGTGACATGTTTCTCTTAACAGGCTGTGATACCAGATATGCTCAGTACATAAGTAAACATGCCTGATAGCGATTCACCACTGAGCCTAGCAATGGAGTGGGGGAAGTATGGAGCTAGCATACCTTGAAGCAAGCTTTCTACCTTGCTGGCCCTGGACAGCACTGCAAGTTTCAATGTGAGGCTTGATTTCAGTGCTCTTATTCACATTCAGGGTTAAGCACGCTCTTAACTACCTGACTAGTCACAGTCTTGCTGTTGCTTTGGTTTAATGCTGTTTACACAGAGTTATCCAGATGTAGTTCTGAAGCTTGAGAAGTTAAGTTCATTTCTGCTCAGTTCCACTCTGAACTGAACTGGTAAATGTCATTCTGCAGAGATGTTCAGACCTGCCACATTCTGTTCTCTACGTCAGAGAAAGTACTGGTTCACAGTATAATTCAGGTTGGAAGGGATTTAAGGAGGGCTGTAGTCTAAATTCATGCTTAAAGCAGGGACAGACATGAGGTCAGAGGAGGCTCATCAGGACTTTATTCAGTTAGGTGATGGAGAATTGCACAACCCCCCTTGGGCAACTGTTCCAATGCCTGACTGTCCTCATGGGGAAAGAGTTTTTCTTTAGAGCCAGGCTGAACCTCGTTCCATTTATGGCCACTGTGTCTTGTCCTCTTGCCTCACGCCACTGTACAGAGCTCAGCTCCATCTTCTTCATGGTCTTGTAGGTATTGGCAGACTGATACTTGGTCTCCCTGAAACTGTCTCTTCTGGCTGAACATGCCCCATTCTATTTCTGTCTCTTCATAAGGCATGTGCTTCAGTTCCCTCACCACCCTGGAGGTCATTCAACTCGCTCTGTGTCATTTCCTGCATTGGGAGTTCAATTGTCCATGCATATGGTCTAATGACTGTTGCATAAAAGGTGATCATTATTACCCTTGATCAACTAGCTATGCTTTTGTTAATACAGCCGCCTTTGCTGCCAGGACACACTGCTGGTTCATGTTCAGTTGCTATCTACCAAAGCCCTAATAGTAGGGCTGCTCCCTGGCCAGCCACTGCCCCATTCATGTTCTTGTTGCCAAAGATTCTTCCTTTCCAGGTACAGGACTTGGAATTTATCTTTGAATTTTGGTGAATTAAAATTTCACTAGGTTCCCACTGTCTCTTTCCTCCAGCCTGTTTAGGTGCCTCTGGATAGTAACCCTGACCTAGAATTTGTAGACAAGTCCTGCCAGTTGGCCGCAATATGCCAATGGGATGAGCAAGCAGTCCTTTACCTCCCCCAGGTTATGGATAAAGATGTTAAACAGGACAGGTCGCAGGACAGACTCTTGCAGTATTCTTCTGACCTCAAGATTTGACCACGACTTTATGAGTCTGATCACACAACAGCATTTTAAACATCTGATTGTCCATCCCTCTAGACCATGACATCCTAGCATGCTGTGAAATTTCTTGCGTGTGTATTCACAGTGTGCAAGCTACTCCACAGTACCAGTCCTTATGAACACTTTTACTTCATGACAATAAGCATGGAGTAACAGACATGCAGTATGCTCACATGAAAGCTGGATTTACAGTATGTTTTCCATTGGGTCAAACTAATTTGGATAAGATGATAATTTGGATAATTTGGTGAGGTACTGGAATGGGTTGCCCGGGTAAGTTGTGAACGCTCCATCCCTGCTGGTACTCAAGTCCAGGTTGGGCAGATCCTTGGGTGATATGGTTTAGTGTGAGGTGTCCCTGTCCATGGCAGGGGGGTTGGAACTAGATGATCTTAAGGTCCTTTCCAACCCTAACTATTCTATGATTCTATGATTCTAAGATTGCAACAAGCTTGGAAGCTATTTAGCTAAGTTTTAATGATGTGGGTCATGAAGAGCCTGGCAGAGGGGGGAACTTTAATCTGATAAGACCATTTTACAATGTTTGTTGGCTGGGAATGGAAATGGGAATTAAAATTCAGACTACAAAGAAAAAATATATTTTTACAAGAATAAAGCAATTAGGCCTGGAAACAGCTTAATGCTGGACTGATGGATTCTCAGTAATTTGCAGTCCTTAAACCAAGGTATTTTTGCCTTCATAAACATACACTGTGATCCAGTCATACGTTATAAGCACGTTGCACAAACTTTTACATGAAATTCTAAGCTAGATGTTCATACTGGTACCTTCTAGCTTTAAAATGATCCATTAGTACTTACACTAACAGTTAACACTGTAAGAAATCCTGCTCAGTTTCTAATATGTTGTGTTTATTTTCAAAACAAATGAAAGAATAACATTTTCACAAACTTCTTGAGATTCCATCAACCTATAAGTGACTTTTCTTCCTTTCCATCTTTCTTTCCTTTCCATTGTTCACAGTTACCTACCACTAGGGATAGGAGTATTTATCTTCCATGTTTCATTTTAAATAGCTGCAGATATCGCTTCATTTGAAAAACCACGTCAAAAACTAAGATAACACAAAAATGTTTTTTTTTCTTTACAGAATTTTACCTTCCTGAGCAGAGTTCTCACTGGGGTCTGTGTAACTTTAAACAATCAGATAAAACAATCCACTCGCCTAAATAGATCATTCAAATAGGAAGGAGGCCTCAAGAATTCACTGAGAAGAGTAGTTTAACAGGTTCCACTGACACATCCTTTCCATCTTAAATTCCTACAGTTCTAATATTGACTGTAGGCTGAACAATTCTGCTTAAAAAGTGACATGCTAATGTAATACAGACTCAAGTCAAATCTGCATTTTAGCTATATTGTCCTGGGGAAATGTTGTTTCTTATTCAGGACTAAATTTTCATGAGAAATAAACATTCATTTTCTGCATCTAAAAAAATTGTCTTGGCATCCTGGACCAGAGGCTGTCACTGAAATTCAGCTATAAGCAAACATTTTGGAAGCATTTTCCTTCCAGTTAACAAACAGGAGGTTAGACAGCCTGCTGCAGAAATAAGGATTGCAACAACACCTGAAAAAAAAAATTAAATCATTACCTTTCAAGCACTTGTCCAAAACAATGCAAAAGGCAAGGCTAAGGACACACTGAATGATAACAAAATCAGTTATCTGGCAACAGAAAGTAAGGTATGTCAGCTCTGCTAGTTTTGTATTTGTCCTTCCAAGTTCCAAACAGGTCAGTGAAAGTTTTAATTAAATGGTCAGAAAAAAAAGAACCATCAGCTAGAAACCCAACTTTATTTCACTCTTGTGGTCTTTCCCTTGCCCTCCTCTAACAATCTGTGGAGTATTTAAGTAAAACAGCAGGGTACTGAATGAGTCAGGGCTGAGAGAGACTACCAAATGGTTTAGCTAGCACTGTCGTCTCTCTAGCCAGGCTTCTCAAAACGACTACTGATTGTCATTAATGTGCCTGCACTCTACCATCTAACATTATGCACATTTCTGGAGCACAGTCACACACATACACAGACACTCCTACACACCAGCTACTCACCCAGAGGAAGCTTTTCCAGCAGATAAAGGTAACTCTGAAAGAAGTCATTTTGGATTGCTTTATGCAAGACAAAGGACATACTGTGCCGACAGAGTTCTTCGTCTGTCTTATGCCAGCGCGACTTAAAAGCTAAATGCGCTGCTTTATATGCCATGATGAAGATGTTTTTTGCAAGGGTGGACAACTGCTGTGGCTGGTGCTCTCTGGAGTACCTGTCCTTCCGAAGAGGCAGAGGCAGCGTTGTTTAAATTGTGGCAGTGTGCTGTCATTCTATATCAGGGTGTGTGTCCAGAGCAGTGCAGGGGGTGGAGGAGGGAGAGAGGGGAGTGAGAAATGCTGGCTGTTGGCACTGGCTCAGAGTAATCTCTGGAGTGTTGCCTTCTGAAACAAGCAGGTGCTGATAGTGATAAAGAACTCAAGCAGGAAATTGCTCAGCCAGGGTAAAAGTATATCTATTCCAAGAAAGTGGCTTTAATTCAATTACACTTTTCCTAATCTATTCAGCCTTCACTTCAAAGGAACTCTGATATTATCCAGGATCTCCCATCTCCTTCTTTTATATCTCACAGGGTGATTTTGTTTCTCTGTCTCTCCCTTGCTATTTGTTTTTCAGTCTGGGGCACTCAAGAGGAAGGCCAGAAGACAGAACATGGACATGCCTCTACATATATGCTACCGTATGTCCTAATAAACTGTGATTACAGCAAGCAAAGAGAAAGCAATAGATTCAGTTTCATGCTTTGCCACTGTCTATGGCCAGGGCACGCCACTCTATATACCAGGTTCATTTAATCTGTTTAAATGGTACAGACTATCTCATCAGCAAAGGCTAGCTTGAAGAAATTACTGTCTGAGGGCACAGGAACGATAAAGCCAGGGAAGGGTAACAGCTTTTTGCTTCAGATAATAAAATATACAGAAGAACAAAATGAGGTAAACTGCCCTTAACAAATTTGGACAAACATATTGGCTGGCAAAGAGAAGATGGTTCAGACCACTACATGAAGGAGGATGTATATCCTACGTATATCCCATCCCTGAGGATTATGAGGCTCTCAAGGGACAAGGAGAGACAGGTACTGCTTCAAAACCTTTTCTGCCCCTTGGTAGGTCAGGCACTCGGTGTGGTACAACTTCAAGCCTCCTGAATTACAAAGGTACCCGGCAAGGGGACGGAGGCTTTGTATCAACTTCACTGACCTCCACACACTGTGCCCATGACAGTATCTGCTTTACAAGCTCTTTATTCCAGCTGTCTGCAGTGTAAGCACACTATAACGCAGCAATGCATGATCAGAAAGTTGGATGTTTCCAAAACAAAAGGGCTGCCATATGTCTTGAGCAGTACTGAAACTCCCAATAAACATCTGATTAAGTTTCTGAGAGCAGAACAAAGATGACCTAGCCTCCACTGAGGAAAATCACTAGTACTTCAGCTACACATGAGGTTAAGCAACATTGAGAAATGCATCAATTAAAGCATATTTTCCAACATCACTCGCTTCCTTGGAGCAGTCAATCTCTTTATCTCTACTTTGATATTACTTATTAAAAGTACTCAGGGGAAAAAAACATTCCTGGGTATTACTGCCTTTTTTGTTTCCCCAACTACCATCCTGTACTACTCATTCTCACCTAACTGCACTGGCACACTGCTTCCCCAGAGGTTCCAATCTACATGACTATGCAAACGTGCTGGTGAACATATCAGTGAATAAATCTTATTCAGAAAAATATACTTATTTTTCTTTCAAGTTGGACCAGTTCCCCAGTCCAGCCCACAGCTGACATAAGGGAATTTTTCATGTGCTACAGTACGGGGGCTGGAACAGCTTCCTGAGATGGCAGTGTGGAGGAGGTAGCCATACAGTCACAATACACAGTGGCCTTACCAATAATGCAGACCTCCTCCCTGTCTCCTGTCAGAGAACTGTGCTACAGTGGGTTCCATGAGAGCCAAAAGTAATCCAAGTACTAAAAAATACATTTCCACACTTCCACCCCTCCCTGCTCATGCATTCCCCCGTCTGGGGTCTCTGCAGAGCTATTTCAGCTTGATACATAAGTTGGCTTTTTCTGTCTGGCCAGCAATGTGAACCAGTTCAGCGCAGAGCTTAACAACTGCCAGAGAAGTGCAGGAAAGGAGGCAGAAATGCGCAGTTGAGGATGGGTTGGGGTGAGTGGGATCATGGCAATGGTTAGATCAGTTCTACTGCCAAAGTTTGAGCCCTTCCTTCAACAGAGGGGAATAATCTTCATGCAACCTTAGACATTTCAGCCATCCCTTGAAATAACTTGGTTTCAAGTTTCTTCCTGGTTTATCAGAGAAACACCAGGCTCTCTCCAACTAATTTTGCAATATCTGGGCCCATATACAATCCTGGGGTATGTCTTGGTTTCCATAGAATCATAGAATCATTAGGGTTGGAAAGGACCTTAAGATCATCTAGTTCCAACCCCCCTACCTGGGCAGGGACACCTTACGCTATATCATATCACCCAAGGCCTCGTCCAACCTGGACTTGAACACTGCCAGGGATGAAGCATTCACAACCTGCCTGGGCAACCTATTCCAGTGCCTCACCACCCTAACAGGAAAGAATTTCCTCCTTATATCCAACCTAAACTTCCCCTGTTTAAGTTTTAACCCATTACCCCTTGTCCTATCACTACAGTCTCTAATGAAGAGTCCCTCTCCAGCATCCCTATAGGCCCCTTCAGATACTGGAAGGCTGCTATGAGGTCTCCACGCAGCCTTCTCTTCTCCAGGCTGAACAGCCCCAACTTTCTCAGCTTATCTTCATACGGGAGGTGCTCCAGTCCCCTGATCATCCTTGTGGCCCTTCTCTGGACTTGTTCCAACAGTTCCATGTCCTTTTTATGTTGAGGACACCAGAACTGCACACAATACTCCAGGTGAGGTCTCACAAGAGCAGAGTAAAGGGCAGGATCACCTCCTTCGACCTGCTGGTCATGCTCCTTTTGATGCAGCCCAGGATACAGTTGGCTTTCTGGGCTGCAACCGCACACTGCAGCCAGCTCATGTTCATTTTCTCATCAACCAACACCCTCAAGTCCTTCTCCACAGGGCTGCTCTGAATCTCTTCTCTGCCCAACCTGTAGCTGTGCCTGGGATTGCTCCGACCCAGATGTAGGACCTTGCACTTGGCATGGTTAAACTTCATGAGGTTGGCATCAGCCCACCTCACAAGTGTGTCAAGGTCCCTCTGGATGGCATTCCTTCCCTCCAGCGTATCAACCAAATCACACAGCTTGGTGTCATCGGCAAACTTGCTGAGGGCGCACTCAATCCCACTGTCCATGTCAGTGACAAAGATGTTAAACAAGACCAGTCCCAACACCAATCCCTGAGGGACACCACTCCTTACTAGTTCCAGCCGGATATTGAGCCATTGACCACAACTCTTCGTATGTGGCCATCCAGCCAGTTCTTTATCCACTGAGTCGTCCATCCATCAAATTGATGTCACTCCAATTTAGAGACAAGGATGTCGTGTGGGACAGTGTTGAACGCTTTGCACAAGTCCAGGTAGACGACATCAACTGCTCTACCCCTGTCCATCAGTTCTGTAGCCCCATCATAGAAGGCCACCAAATTGGTCAGGTAGGATTTCCCCTTAGTGAAGCCATGCTGGCTGTCACCAAGCACCTTGTTGTTTTTCATGTGCTTTAGCATGCCTTCCAGGAGAATCTGCTCCAAGATTTTGCCAGGCACAGAGGTGAGACTGACTGGTCTGTAATTCCCATGATCATCCATTTTCCCATATCTTGAAAATGGGGGTTATAGTTCCCTTTTTCCAGTCATCGGGAACTTCACCTGACTGCCATGATTTCTCAAATATGATGGACAGTGGCTTAGCAACTTCATTTGACAGCTCCTTCAGGACCCACGGACTTGTGCACGTTCAGATTTTTAAGATAGTCTCAAACTAGTTCCTCTCCTACAGTGGGCACAAGGTCTTCATTCTCACAGTCCCTGCGTCTCCCTTCCAAGACTTGGGTGGTACGTCAGAGCCTTTGCCAGTGAAGACCGAGGCAAAGAAGTCATTCAGAACCTCAGCCTTCTCCAAATCCTGTGTAGCCAGTTCTCCTGAGAGCTTCCTGAGGGGGCCTACGTTCTCCCTAGTCTGTTTTTTATTTGCTATGTACCTGTAGAATCCCTTCCTGTTGTCTTTAATACCTCTAGCCAAGTTTAATTCTTATTATTTCTCACAAATCTGGCCCTTTCTCTTTGCTTATCTATTTTCAGCCACTTGCCAGTTAGTGCACCAGGAACAGATGCATCAAGACAGCAAGTTAATGCTTTGGAAAGACATTGCACAAGCTCACTTTGCCACCAACAAAAGATACCCCTAGGAACCCAGAGCCCACCTGTTCTGCATTTGTTGCCACATTCCAATTTGTCATGGCTGTAGTTTTGGCAATGCCCATTGTATAGCAAAGTGACCTCTGCTTAGAGGTAGCAGTGACTCCAAGGATGAAACTTAAGCCCTGATGTGTCCTAGTGGAGTCAAACGCTGGGACAGCACTGTGAAGGGTGCTGGGACCACAGCTCCAGGGCGCCCCGTAGCTTTGATACTCATGAGGTCCACAAGGGCTGGGTTTCTACATTCAATGGGAGGATGTGCAAAAGCAGAAAAGAACACTGTTTCTCCAGCCTTCTGTGCACAAAGCGGAGCTTAACTCTCTTTGAAGTTGTGCATTTGGGTTCCCCAGTGCTTACAAAATGCCTGAGTTACTGCGACTCTAGTGAAGCTCTCTCAATTTACATTCTCTGAGAATCTGGCCAATTACAATTAATACATATATATGGGAAGCCAAGCATATTTCAGAGTCACTCCCTATCATTTTAATGCCCTGCTAGTGATTTCGTAACATACTCTTGGCCCACTTTCCTTAGGAAAAAAGATAAGTGCAGTCATTTTGTGTATGTCTCTGTCTATGACAGGTTTCATCCTGGTGTCACTCAGCAAAGGGAGTTTTGCTCTTCTGAAACCCCATAAAACTCATGCGGATAGACAGGCATGGGTACATATGCACTTGTCTTTCCAAGGTACCATTCCCAACCATCCAACACAAATGTGTCAGAAACAACAGTCCACAGGATTAGTTTTTCAGGCTCTCTGATAACTTAGTGGTGGTTTTGACTCAGAGTAGTCCTGCCCCACAAAAAAAAGGGTGAAGATCTACAGAAGGCATCATAATTCTATTTATTCTATTTGCACATGATCAAGACTGTGTCCCTCTTCCAAATAGCTCTATAACCTAAAAGTTAGTGTGAACACACACTCAGGCCT